TTAACCTAAAGCTCAGATTGTCATACACACCTGTTTTAAACGGAATGTTTTTTATTAAACACACTTTTTTGGGAGCTAAAGGTGGGTCACGCTGCGTGAGTGAAGTGTCACTTCCATTTGTCACGCTGCGTGAGATCTGTATGAACTTCTTGGGCTTTATTTTAGGCACCTACCTTTCTACATATTTGCAAGATAGCGGCATGTTTTATAATACGCTTTTCACCCATTTTCATGTACATACCTACTTGATAAATGTATCTGAATAGTTCTTAAAAAATGCGTTCTATATTGTGGGAATATTTCTGTGTGTATACACACAGAAATAGTACAAATGATTTTCTCTTACTGTTCAAAAATAAATCAAATGTATAATTTTTTTTAAGTCCGTTTTTGTAAAACAATGTCTCGTGTCTATAGGGTATTTCTTCATTCGGTCATTTCGGTCATTTGCTTCTTAGTTTTGTATTTTATTATTGGCATTAGTCGTTAATTCAAAGTTTATTAGGTACATCATCTATACTAATATTATAAAGAGGTAAAATTTGTAAGTTTGTATGTAGGGGGTAATCTTTGGAATCGGATTTCCAAAATTCTTTCACTGATAGATAGCTACAATGTTCCTGAGTGCTATAGGCTATAAAACGTCACGCTACGATTAAATGGAGCCGAGCAACGTGTGAAACGACGAAAGAATAGCTAGTTTGTGAATAAATAAGAAAGAGGGAGACAGGATTATAAGAAAGATGATGCTAAGTGTGGGAGAGTCATGTTTCGGCACGAATGGGTCGGCTCGACCGGAGTGATACCACGGCCTCACAGAAAACCAGCGTGAAATAACCATTGTGTTTCGCCGTGTGAGTGAGGTTATCGGAGGCCCAATCCTTCCCCTTCCCCAATCCCTCCTCAATCCCTAAATCTCCAAATCCCTAATCCCTAAAAGGTCGGCAACGCACTCGTAACTCCTCCGTTGCGAGTGTCCATGTGCGGCGCTGATTGCTTACCATCAGGTAATCCGTCTGCTCGTTTGCCGACCTATTACATAAAAAAAAGAAATGTTGAATTTACCTTATTATTATAGCATTGAAGCCGATTCCAACAAAAATAATATTTTCTTAAACTGCAAACACAAATCAAAGAAATTGATTTAATGAATCATTTAATTTTATTGAAGAATAATCGCTCGGTACCGCCATAACTTCAACACTCGGATCACCTGCGGTGTTGTTAATATCTTTGACACATTAACAACAAATAAAAAATATTCCTGTACAAATTATCACACTTTTCATTTAGTAAAACTAGTTTTTTTTAATTAATTACCTCGAGTGAGTAATTTGTATACATTTGTCAAAAATCGTTCTCTTCTTTACGGAAATTGAAAAAGCCAGGGTTACGGACGCAAGTTTGTTTCGGCATTTCTTCTCAGAGTAGTCAGATAGGAAATGCCGGCTTCATCTAGTTTTTCACATATAAATTGACGTGTAAAAGTGCCGTGTTATGGCCTCTTTGCAAAAATAAATTCATTATTTCATTGTTTCAAGCAAAATAAGGTAGCTCAAGGATTGCATGGTTGGCGCGGTAGCTAAGCAAATTGTCTGCCGCGTAACGTTGTTGTTCCGGGGCTGGGTGTGATGTGTATGTTTGAAAACGGATCGAACCCACGACATAGGTGAAGATCCTAGACTGGGGCAAAGTTTTTTATTAAAAAAAAAAAACAGAAAAAAATCTATAAAATAAAAGCTCAATAAGATATAGCGGCCTCGACCTGGAGCAGGAGAAGAAACGAGTTGGTTTTTAGTCAGTAAGTGACTGACACTCTCGCTTCAACCCGGGCGAGAGAAGTCATTTAAAAAAACGGGTAAGTATCCTAAGAGTCGATTAATAAATTGTTCATTTGGTAGTTATTGTCAAAGAGTTTACAGATGCAAGCACAATAATTTACCACAGGATCGGCAGGCGTGACACCAGGACCTCACAGAAAACTCATACTGGAACAATCGTAGCGTTGTATTTCGTCTTGTAAGTGAGGTTACAGGAAGCCCAATGCTTTCCCATCCCTTCCCCTTCCCGATCCCCTAATCTTCAAAGCCATTGTTCTGATGAGGCCCGTAACGCACAGGTAACTTCTCTGGTCCATGGGTGGCGCCGATTGCTTACCATTAGGTAATACGTAAGCTCGTTTGCGAGTATGTATATTGTATTCTATGCGGTATTATCTTTTGGAACTCGGGTTTTTATCTTAATTTTTTTACGTATCAGCAAAGATATTTTACCTACTTTACTCAACCACAAGTAATTAATTTAACCAGCATAACCTATTAAATAGTTTGTCACGTCACAATTAGTAGGTTACAGGTGTCAGTAGCGTGATTGAGTGGGTTACTCGACGTGACAAATGTAGCGTGTTTGCAATTTCGTTGTTGTAGGTACTTATAGTAGGGGAAAAAGTTAATTAGTGTATTTTGTATCTACCGTTTTTAATAAATAAAGATGCCTTTTTTAACTGTTTTTTGCAAGTAGGTACTAGTTTTAAAACGGTAGTTTTAATCTAATAGCCAATATGTATGTGTGTTTTCCAACATTAAAGCACCTAACTATTATTTTCCTTTGTTTTAACAGGACATGTACTCTCAAAACAGCTGCAACTCCGATAAACCAGGATCTACAGAAGACCATGTAAACACCGGAACACTGAAGTCCGGCGCGTCATAAGGACGTGAATGACCGTCTTGGATCCAGCAATGAAATAAATCAGAAGATATTATTTGGGGAGACGAAAAAACAAAAAAGTAATTATTGAAAATAAAAAATATTTTACCACGTAAGTAATTAAATAACGTTGCGTGAAACAATGCGTTACCCCAACTGGGATTCAACACAATGTTCCCTCAATCACAACCCCGGACACAGGTGTACGTACCTACTTTGGCTAAATGACATTGTGACTTCCGTGCAACGTTCGTGATTCCATGGTTCCATGGGAATTTTATATTTTTAGTAATGAACTGTTATTAAAAACATTGTCGTAGGTTAGGGATCGTTTAGGTGTGAGAGAGCCATGTTTCGAAACAAATTTGACTTGATCGGAGTGATACCTTCACACCTACAATATCTTCACAAAATACGGGCGAAAAAGCCTGCGTTGTGTTTTGTCTTGTGAGTAAAGGGCGGTCCAATTCTCCCATTCTTTGTCCTAAGATTAGGGATCTTAGGCCGGCACCCTTACCCTCAATAGGCCGGCAAAGCACTTGTTACTCTTTGGTGGTATCCATCCGCAGCCCTGACTGCCACTGCGCTTGATCTCATAACCCCGACCGATTTATATTTTTACGTGGGCTTCTTATCATATCTAATCACTCATCATCATCATCATTTTCAAATATCCTTCATCATGATCATGGCCTATAAGTGCCAAATGCAAAGCAAAGACCTCTTCTTACACGAAGAAGGTTTGAATATTAATCATCACGCTTGCTCAAGGTGGATTGGCGATTTTAAACTTATTATCATAAACTATAAATCACCAGGTTTCCTCCCGAAGTTCCTTCACCGTATGTCAGTGGTGTCATAATGAACTTAATAAATACATATAACTCGGAAGAAGTCACATTGGAACTTGCCAGCCTTCGGGCCACCTCGGCCTTACTTGGGCTTCTTAACATAACTTATCTTCAAATATCCTTACAGAGAACTAAACACACACACTTACGTATAAATACAGATAAGTACTGCTAATCATCCATTAATCCCTATCTCAACAAACATCTTAACACGTCAACTTCTAACAAAAGTGAGACCAAATTTCACTCTCGACAAATTAATTGCACTAATCACTACAAATTAATTGCAACAGGTACATTTCCCACGTAAATGGAATCAGGGATCGCGTGCGCAGCGCCGGCCACCTGCGTGTGCGCACACCGCCGACACTCTCACGCGCACTTGTAGTTTCACACGGGGTCAGTAAGTGGACATTGGTCAGAAGGTTCAGTATATTGGACTTCTGGATACTGTGAGCTGCTTTTTTATTGTTTTTGGTATGTCGTAGAGATTTGAAAAGTGAACCTTAATATGGACTAGCGTTATTAGCTGATAGTGTTATCAGCTCTACCTAACCTGTAAGAAAAATTTCGAATGTGTTTTTTTTTTATTTTTTATTATTGTTTTGTTTAACATGTGCCAAAAAACTAAAAATGTAATTTTCACTAAAATATGCATTTTCGAACAATGACAGCAGTTCTAAATTGTGCTCATGAACTGTCTTTTCAACTACTGTTTGAATTGAAATATTAAAAATTTAATTTTTAATACAGTAACAAAATAATATTTTACTAAAAGAAAAACAAATTTGAGTCAAAAAGTTCATTGCGTTAATATGAAATTGGTATTACTATGAAATGTAATTTAACTATAATACAGTTAAGCTTGACTTTGTTTTACTGTGTGTACCTTTACTACGGCACCGGATAGACTGCTGTTTACATATAATTGGGTGATTAGTGTAAGCTGTGGCTTCCGTGCGACGCGATTTGATTTTGACTTTTGTTTTCGATAGGGGAGGGTTGATTTTGATATGATGATTTAGATATTTGTCACTGATTTTTTTATTGTGTGAGTGATAAATTTTGTCTTTCTACTACACCTGTGATTGGTTTTCTACTTTCAAATGATAATTAGTTGTTTATAGGTTTTTTTATGGTTTATACTTCGTAGTATATGTAACATCTAATTCAGTCATTGTCTAATGTCTATCTTAATAATTCAAATTGTTTTATACAAAATCATCGATTTTTCTGTATAACTATTGTATTTGTTATTGTTTAAAATATCAACCTAACATAGATTCGACTGCATGTATCAGGTATAAATGTGTTGTGAATGCATAACTTGAAAAATAAACTGAACTGAAATACCCCTTTTGTTTTACTTTTTGAAAATAGATAGGGGAATTAAACAATATTAATAAAAAAAAAAGAAATCCAGAGAGACATATTTTATTCCTCATTAATATTTATTTTTTATACACCTCCATACATTCTCATACACACACCGACAATATTTTACAACCGTTCACTGTACATTTATTGCGAATAAATACATTGCTTCTCTTTTACTAATTGTTTATAAATTGTTTCTTCATTTTTTTAAAAAATAAAACTATCAAATTGTGTGCAGAAATTTGAAACATTTGTTTGTGAAAATTATTTATCTTTAAAATTGATTTATAGAAAATTCTATTATTGCTTTCCATTTCACATATTTGAAATATAAAATAGTTCAATTATTTTTAAGAAAAATGTATTTTCACAAGCATATGTTTTAGAATAATCATCATAATTCAATTCCATAATTTTAAATTATTTTACAAATTCAAAAGTATCTATAATGACTATTGACATACAAAAAAGAATTATAACATAAAAAATTGTTTTTATAAAAAAAGATTATTAGAAATATAAATAAAATCATTTTGTAGTTACTATAGCTTACATAATTTGTATTTCTCACTATTGTTTATACATAAACAAAGACGTAAAAGAAAAAAACAATTTTACTCAACTACGTTTCATGTATTTTACTAAAAATATTTTTTTTCAAAATAACCTTTTCAAAGGAACGATACATATCTACATAAATGCTTTACGGAATCGATAAAATAAGAAAAATACGTAATCCTACGTAAATATTTGAGTAATGACAGCACCAGTGGAAAATAAAAAAGAAAGAACCTCGTCCAATCATATTTGTAGATAAAAAACTCTTTGATCATGATTTTAAACTGGGAATGTTATATAAAGACCAAACAAAATGGAGAAAACTTAAAACAAAATGACGAAAAAAGTTTATTTACAAGAAGTCTCATTGCCAGCCGCTACCTAAGTTATTACTTGAACACATTTCGCTCTTTTCTGATATGAATATGAACACACTCCATTCCCAGTTTAAAATCATTGAGGATTCTTCACATCTATTTAGTCGTATAAAAGTTTTCTTAGTCGTTGAAAACCTTTCTCTATTTCTAACATGCATACAACTACACACCGACATTGCACGACCGATGCAAATCTTATTGCGTTATCAATCCGAAATTGATTTTATACATTCTCTACAAAAAGAAAGAATTCGAAAAAAATACAATATTAATAATAATTAATAAAAAATAAAATAAAAAATCCATCCATCATCGTAGAAAAACTCTTAACTATCAATTTACAATAATAAAAACATTTTATTTACAATATTAAATAGTAAACTATTTTTACAGAGGAACAAAAACTTGAACTAATACACTACGGACCCCATTGAATGTTACTTCATGTCTGGCATACTACACTCTTGCCGTATATTTAATAGATTGTCTATCATCAGGGATTTTTGCGCGCTCTTTTGAGTCTCCGAAGTCGTCTCGAACTCCTCGGTCGATTTCGGAGCGTAGAAAGCAGATATGGGATCGAAAGAGGGATCGGCTCTCTCGCTTTCCCTGCTGGTTCTGGACCCGAAGTACTCTTCGCTCGCTTCTGTTTCGTGGAATTCGCTTGAGGAGGTCACTGCGTCCTCAGGCTGGGCTTCGCGCTGGTACCTTTGGAAAGGGTCGAACCGCTGGCTCGGCAGGTACGGCGGGAAGCCGTAAGGCGTGGATCATGCCGCTGCCAGCTGCCTCCACATCGTATGTCACATGGTCGCCATGTACGGCCATGAGAATGAGTTCCCGGAGAGCAGCATGTCTCTGATCAGGGTCTCGATGGGAGTTTTCCCGACTAACCGCACAAAGAAGAGCTGTTCTATAACTTGTGAGCTGACTGTCCGTAACGAAGGTAGTCTTAGGAGGAGCTTGCCGAACCTCGTGGGCTGATTCGGGTACTGGCTTCTGCAGTACTCCTCGAGGGCGCACTGGGACTTTTCTTGTAGGCTTTCTATGTGCGGTACGTCTGATAGACCGCACGCATCTGGAAGGAAGAAATGTACACATTAATATGTGGCTTTATTTCCAAATGCTTCTTTATTTCTACAGTGAGTAAGATCAAGATTGTCAAAAATCTTTTGGGGATCTAGAAGTTTGTTTTGAGTTTTACGACAACAAATAAGTAAAAGCATTGAAACTCCTTTTCTTTTCCATTTTCCATTGTAACTTGGAATCATCGTCCTAATCTCTTATTATTATTGTTTTTAACGCGTCATAAATTCATTTTATTTCCCTATAACGCAGAAAGTACCTGTGCTTACATTAACTAATGTTGCCATCAAAAAAGGTTAAATGTAACAGAAAAACTGTTTGCTACATTTAACTTGGTGATTTTTGCTTATTTTATAATGTCAATAATGAAGTAGATTAAGAATACGGTTCCTTTAAACATTCTACTGTTTTTTTTTTTGTTATTTAGACGTTTCTATCTATCAATATTTACTGACATTCAAATCAATCTGGGTTGCCAATGCATTTATATATTTTTATTATTATGTGGTAACACTTAGAGATTCTAATTAGTTATTAGTGAGGTTTTAAGACCTTATTAAGGCTCCGTTTTGTAATGTTATAGCGAAAGCTTTTGTGTTGGGTCTATTAGCACATAGGTGTTAAATAGTTGCGAGGTGGCGTTTGCAGTGTTATGTTCGTTTACTAAGATTGTCATGATTCAACTTAGTGTTAAGCAAGTGTTGTTACATGGTAATAATATTATGAAGGAAATTTTATAATTATGTTGTAATATTGGTGGATGCGTTCCAAATTAGAATTTTGAGGAGCTTTTTGTTCATTGATTTAAGTGCTATTAGTAATAGAGTTTATTTTAGTTTAGCACGTTACTTTCTTATAAATTGGTTTAACTTGTATTACCTACTTCAGTTATATTATGCAGCACTTCTATGTTACGAGACTTCGTTGTACAAAAGTGACACTTATTTGAAACTATTCAAATATCTGTCCTACATTTGCACATTCTACTTTTAAATGCAAAAAGTTTGAATGCTAAAACAGATAATACAAATTTATGACCATAATCCAACCCTTTCAAAAACCGTTCCACTTTCGAAATTCAAAATCTTAAAGACGTTCGAAACAAAGAAAAGATTAATCCTTGCAACCCTCAAAATAAAAATGAATAAGTATTATAACCCTTGAACGCTCGCGGGGATCTTAGGGACCGTAGTGCGTAATGCGATTAGGGCGCCACATTTACTCGGCACATTAATATTTTTTATTGTTATATAGTAAGATATGGCTCGGTAAACATCACTGTCGTTATGATGCCTGCCAGATGTCCGCTTCAGTGGCTCTGGAGCGTAATTACTGTCCAGACCATCCCCTTTATTTTGGGCGAAAAAGGTTAATGTTAGTGTTGTGACGTCATTGTTTATCGTAAAGTTATTTTCTTTTAGATTCGTGGATATTAGGTTCTGCTTTATGTGATTTTGGATACTGTGTATGAAATTAATAATAAATTTCAATGCTGTCTGTTTGCATCGTTTTAACACTAAAAATTGCTGATCCGATTTCGATGAATAACTTCAGAGATGTATAGATCCGTAAAGAACGCTAATGTAGGCATATTTAGGAAGTAAAGTTAAGACCTCTGTAGTTCTATTTAAAACAATGGTTCGAACTGACTTCATAGCAATTTAAAGCATCATTTAATTTACATGTAGATCGTTGGTCCAGTACAAACCTGAATTAACAATCAGTTAATTGTCTTACCCACTTGGAGCATTCTCATCGGACAACTAGGTTAATTTATAATTACACATCATGGTTGCACGTCAGTTTTAATGTTAGTTGAACATACAACTTGTTCTATTGCCTTTTATGTAGCTTCACGGGTCTTTGTTGCTATGGGAAAGCGTTTTAGGGTTATATGTTTTTCTTTTATTTTATTTCTTGTTAGGATTGTAATTCTTGTGAAGTTTTCAGAGAGTCTTATTATGAAAAATATGGCTAGTTCATCTGTTAATTACTGTATATCGGGAGTTAATTTATGTTTTTTCAACAGTCTAAGCAAATAATATTTTAACAAGCTTTGTACACTTTTAATTCAGTCTGTCAAAGTACAAGTGAATTTGTATTTGCGTTGAGAGAATCTCGGAATTAGATATCATTTCAGATTGTGATTAAGTTTGAGATCTAAAAGATTAATTAGGTAACAAACTCAATGACCTGTCTGAGCACATCTCATCCTGTGCATACATATTGTATTGATTACTGCAGTTTCAGTTAGTGATACAATGGCATCTACATATCTATCATCATCAACAACATAGCACTATCAAGTTATCAGCTACAATGACGTCATAAGGGGCCCGAACTAACAACCTACATTTTCATTCAATAAAACGGCAACTATTAATTCTAATTCGTGTGTCTACGCTTGTAAACGTCTTGGGACGCTATGACGCAATCCTGCCACCATAATTGTGGTCACTTGTCCTAATTGTTCCAGCGATGCCACTAAATGGTGACAGCTGCTTCGTAATTGATACACTCCCAACCAACAATTGAATCTCCACCTTATATTTACAACTTCTAAGTTTGATATCACTTGGCAGAGTAATAAGAAAAGAACTGAAAAATCTGTCGAAAGAATTGTAAGGTTTGAGCTTTGGATGTTAAAGTTGAAATTTGAATGTGGTTATTTTGTGCGTATTAAAGGATGTTGTGAGGCGTTTGTTTGTAAGCTGGACAATAAGTTTTGTAATTTGCATTTCCGCACATAAAGAGGGAGTGAGATGGTATTGTTTATATACTACAGCATTGTGATGGCCACAGCTTACTAGTTAACACAGCCAAAGCAAATGTATGAGAAAAAACCATCTTAATAAAAGTATCAAATATAATTTTTGCAATAAAGTTGAAAGACGAACTTATTACGAACGACAATTATAATCCAAAACCGTGTTCTGATCCACCAGCTAATTTGTATCAACAAGAAAAAGAAAGAAATAAAACTATCGAAAAAGTAATTGACAGTTTAGAACCATCTCATAAAACTAAGCCAGTTAACAATGAAGATGAGAAGACGCACGAAAGAGGTCAAGATTAGGCAAGATGAAGCAGGTGGCGACTCCATTTAACTGGTCCTTAATAGGTCTAATAGAGCTATCTATTGTCGACTAGATGATTGTCCAGCTTAGAAACCTCATTCAGATTGTATAACAGTTAAAGAATTGCTAAAAGAGGATGGGCAAAGATGGTTAGAAATTTGGAAACTGGTATTAGTATTTTGAGAATTTTGGATTTGATTCTAGGTGGATTTTAAATGCTAGTATAGATTTTTATGGAGAAAAAGAAGAAAGAAATGATAACGTTGATGGTGAAGAAGATTCTTTTTAAGTGAAAGAATATAAATATTTCAGTAATAGATAAAACAAAAATAAATAATATCGAAATGAGGAAAGCTAGCAAAGTGAAAGAATCTCATAAATCGTTCCTAGAAAAATTCCGAGGGTCGATAATCTCAACCCTGCACTATCAAATCGAAAGGTGTACGACAATGATCCAAAAGACCAAAGATCAGGCAAAGACGGTGCAATAGCAATTAACCCTGCGCCCGCCGGACATCGTAACAATGTAATATATTTTAATTGAAACGACCCCGCCGTAGATGCAGTAAATATTGGACGGAATGAACGAGTGAACCTAATTGAATGGATGAAGGAGTGTCGTGTTAAATTTTTAAGTAGGTTTTGAATGAATGACGTCATTTGTTCGTTGCGTAATTTGTTGATTGGGTTTCATGTGGATTTGTTTAAGGACAGTGTTATTGTTTTCGATAAACCTAACACTATGTTTGACGTTATAAACTACATGTAAGGGTCTAATTGATTTTTTACTTGGAATGCTACAAATTCTACAACATGGTTACGTCCCATACTTTATTAGAAAATATATTTTAACGAAGTTTTAAATATAAAGCTGGTGATGAAGGTAATCTTTTGGACATATTTGTAATATTTTTTTATAGGTAGTATGGAACAAATTGTACAGATACTCCACATTATTGAATTCACGACCAAAACAATACATGATCTATCTCAAAAAGCACACTCAAACACTTTCAAAATGGACCCAATATGGACGAGCAGCGCACACTAATAAAACCCTTCATGAGCGTGATTCGATACCAACGTTAAGCAGTATTGATGGTAGTGTCAACAGATATGACCCAGGGAATCAATGTTCTATCATGAGCAATGAATTCTTATATACTTATTGTTGGCGCCGATGTGTCGAGGGCTTAAATTATATCAACGCTGTGTTTACAACTATGCTTTGCTTTGTTGAAGATTTTTTATCGGAGGTATTGCAATGGTAATGCTAATCTTACTAATACCTATTATAAATGCGAAAGTTAAGATTTTTGGATGTTTGTTAATCAATCACGCCAATACGGCGGGACAGATCTGGATGAAATTTGGCACAAGTATAGGATACACTCCGGAATAGGACTTAGGCTACTTTTTTTCAACATACCACGCAGGCGAAGCCGTGGGTGGAAGCTAGTTCAAAATATTTATTTAGAAGTTAACACGTTCACTGTCCATGAGGTTAACCCTGACCTCATTGGGGGCTTCTACTGACACGTGCATGAGGTCACTCTTACCTCACGACACCCCGTTAGAGAAATTAGATTTTTTTTCTGAACGTGTGAGTAGAATTTAGTATTAACGGATGAAAATCAAAAGTTTATAGTCTGTGGACCATAGATAAGCAAAAACATTCGTTTTTTTTTATCAATTGAATTGGATTTTAGGCCTTTAAAATAAAACAAAAAAATCATAAATAGACTTTAATTGTATGAAAAACAAAAATTATCGTCATCTGTTTCACTGTCAATGTTCATTAAAATATTGATAATATTGTCATCCTTCACTTTAGCCATGTTGCAGTAACACAGTAAAACTTAGTTTAGAAAGTTAAATCCAACTTAAACCGTAACTATGAAACTGAATTTAAACTTTTTAGAAGTTATGCCCAAAAACGTCCGTTTTTTTCACAGAGATACTTGAATTTGTGTGTTTCTATTTTTAAAAACCGAAATTACATCAGTTTATTTAAAAACTATAGACATTTTTAAGAAATAAGATCAATTTTCGGTCAAATTTCATACTGACACGTCCGTGAGGTCGGGGTTGACCTCATTAAGATTTTGGCCAATAAAAAAAAAACAAAAAGAAATGAAAAATAAATAACATCTAAACTGTATTACTTGGACCGATAATATGCTATTAAAATCGAAATCTGAAGTGGACATGTAGGTATGATCACGATTTTATACGCGGACAGGGAACGTGTTAACATAAAATACCTGCATGAAGGTGTTTTTTTTTCTAGCTTTGTTCTAATTTATGATCATTCTTGAAATCGACGACTTATGAATATTTTTCAATGATTTGACTTAACCACTTATGTTGCTTCAGAATGCCTAAAATTATCAATCATATTCTGTTTTCGTATTTTTTATTTGTATTTTAAATTTAATAGGTAGGTATGGTAATAAGAAAATTAACTCTAACTTGGAATATAACAGTTAAGGTTTTTCTAATCATAATGGCAATTAATTTTTTGGTTAGTTACTTGTATTAAAATTAGGTTTTCTAATTGATAATAATGTTAGCACAATGTTCAACAAATACAACGTAACCATACATTAGATAGATTAATTTAGAAGTGGTTGAAGGATTGCTTTTTGCAATAATTTAGCACATACAGCAGAGGTCATAATAATTGGTGGTTAGCAAGCTCAAGTAATTTAATGTATCAATCATAATTAAACCAGTGGATTTTGGACTTTGTTTTTGTTTTGTACTAAGATGTGCGTTTATTAACACCCCGGTAATGATAGCAAATTAATATGACATTTCACTTCATCTATACTAATATTATAAAGAGTTAATATTTGTAAGTTTGTATGTAAGTATGTAAGTGGTAATCTATGGAACCGCTGGTCGGATTTTGAAAACCCTTTCACTGATAGATAGCAACAATGTGAGCTTAGTGCTATAGGCTATAAATTATGCTTGATTTGGGTAGTTTAATCGAGCTATCGCTATAAACGCTGTTTTTTTGAATCCCGGGATACTTTTCTTTTATACGCCTGCGAACCCGGGCGGAGTTGTGAGATTGATTTCTCTATGGGTTCCATAGACGAATGGATCAACATACGTCTTCATTGATTTTGATCTTTTATGACATGTATCTTGCGTAAGTGTCCAAAAAGAGTTTGTTAAAACAGATTTACGAGTATATGTAAATGGTAGCAATATTTGAAGACGAGTGACCTTTCTCCTCTGTAGAATCAACAATTTATTTAATCAACCTCGATATAACGAGATAGAATATAAATAAATCGTTATTGAACTAACAGCTTGCCCTCCAGATTTCAGTGTGACGAATCTCATTGACTCTCATTAAACAATCGACTAAAGGGTGATAATCGAGAATTAAATCGATGGCCCGCATCGAGCGAGTGTATCGTTTATGAAAATAAAAATAATCGTCACTCATTAGTCGATTTACGGGTTATGCGGGTGTTTTAGTGACACGGTTTTTATACGAAACGTTTTTTTTTTAATTCATAGTTTTGTTGATTGTATATAATCTGTGTTTTGTATATTTTTCTGTGTGATTGGAGTATTTTTTATCGTTTGGAAGTTTATAGTGATTGTAATTGGCCGTGTAATTAATCGAGTATTGCCCGTTACCAATTGAACTGAA